ATATACCCCGCCAGGTAACTAAATTAACTAAACGCACTAGCGACACCCATAACGTTTTTTACCTGCGCAGCATTTCCGAGTACGAACCAGACTCGTCGCCGGTGACAAAGCTGACCCGAGGATCATCTACAAGCGGCAGGGCACATCACGATCCCTGGCAGCAAAGCTGCTGGCTGACTTGCGAAAGACGCTGCCGACCTGTGCCTGAACCTTCCTCCTAGAATACTGATTGAGACAACCAACTGGCGCATAGAAAGGACGAAACCGAAGCAGGAACCTGGCGTTGGCGGCAAGTCAGCGTCCGTGAAAGTTCCTGACGTGCGAACCTCGGTGAAATGAGTTGCACTTGAGGATGCGAGGGCAACAGGAAGCCCACACCAGATCCTTTTCCGTCAAATGCTTTTCCGACCGGTTAGCTTCACCAAGGGTTCTTTCAATTTCCAGAAACTTCAAGCTGTTGTACAGCAGATGCCGCGCAAGACACGGCTGTGTGCAGTAAACACAAGTCGGTGAGGTGCGAGGCTTGAAGAATTGAGAGCCTCAATCTTGGAACCGTGCAGGCGGTGCAATTGCGATGCAGTCATCCGTAGCAAACTCCGGATGCCTCCTGTCGGTGAGGATTGAAAATGCAGCATCAGATCTTTTCACATCTCCTTTTAAAACACGTCCTGGCATGTCGGTACTGGCTCATGTGTCGGAGGCTTCAACAGACTCACCGGGTGTTCCAAAATGCAAAGCAGAGCTCTAGAAATGGATGCCTCAACAATCAAAGCCGTGATTTTCGGTACTGTTTCCCTTGCAATCGGGCTCATCGGACTGTATCTCGCCTTTAAACAACTACAAGTTTCTCTTCTTCGGGTCTCCTTGCGCAGCATGGTAAGATCGCCCGAGATCTGGGGTGTTGAATACAACTGACGATGAATTCATAGACTATACGTCGGCAAGTCAAGAGCTACGATGAGGGTGAAGCTCAGCAGAGCCACGAGCTGGCGGCAACGGCCGATCGAGGAAGGCTTTTGTGAGAAACTGTCAGCATGGACCTAGCTGTCACATTAGACAGCTTCGAAACCCGCTCTGCCAATTGCTGACGGCAGAAGCCTCTTAATATTAGTGGTACATGATACTCGTCGCTTGTCTATGCCACCCGATGCAGAATACATGGACCTGCGCATACGCTTCCTGGAATATGATCGCAGCTTCTCTCGACCTGTGCCAAAAAACAGGCTCGCTAGCTTAGAGCGTAGAGAGCTATTGTGGGTTAGGCGTGAGAGAAGCCGCTTATGCCTTAATGCGCTGTCGTGATCACTGTACCAAGCGCCACTTCAGATCATACTAGGTAGAAAAGAATCACCCTCGTGAAGTAACTCCATATATACTGCATGTTTCTTTTCTCTTAGAACCGGCGCGTATTTTCCAATCATCTCAGAGTAATGGGCTGGTCGATCGTGGGGGCGTATCGAGCGATCGTTGTATGTCGTTGATAAATTTTGCTTCCTCCCTGCCCGGTGAAGCATCAGGCGACCATATCCTCCTCCTACGTCGTCCTCGCTGCTCATACTGCGCGCTGCTTGCAGACCAGTCCAACTCGGCTTCATCTATCTCGGTTTCATCAGTGCCCTGCGCCGATCGTGCCCGCTTCTTAGGACTTTGGCTACGGCTGTTTGCCCGCCTAGCCGTAGAAATAAGTTTTCTGTATTCGTTAGAGGACATAGACTGCACCAATGGTCTATCGTCACCATCGAGTGTCACAAGTCTCCGTTCAACACTCTGGCTGAGAAAGACACTCTTAGAAAGGATAGCAAGGGCAAAGCGACAAAAAAGGAAGTGTGTCGCTACCCCATAGAGCGGCTGTAGCTCTAGGTTGTGGTACTCTGTCTCAAGCTCGTTCGATGGGCTTCTCCATAGTGCATGAAGAACCCATTTACCTTGCTTAGGGACAAAAGCGAAGCGGTGGTCGTCCCACAACTTATGTAGGTCACGACGTAGCAATATTGCATTATCCGCACACCGCATATCAGAAGAGAGGTCGGGATTGGCAGTGTAGGTGAACATGCTGTTGCGCTGCCACCATTCGCTTAATGCCTGGGGTATGATGTGTGCAACCTCGTTAGCGAGCGTCGAGGCTGTCGCACGGCACGTCTGGTCTCTTCTACCCACGTCATCCGTAGCGGTGGGCTCGATGTGCGGGCTTTCGGCAGCCCATGATTCGGGGAGGGTGGTCGGACAGCGAAAGTTTTCATACGACGGGACGACTGGGTACTGATCATCTACAAGGTCTCGTTAGTGCCAAGGAAGACGAAAGAACTGAACAAGAACGGGAAGCACTCTCGAGAGCGTCAAGAATAACAAATCGGATTCCGTACCGTCTGGGATTCGAAAATAGTAGCGCGTATTGACAAGTACGTCGTCTCTTGCGTCTGGCACCGCTTCGCCATCTCTAGTCAGAGAGAGAAAGCCATCCCAGCGGGAATTGGCGAGAATGGCGCAGGCGATGCGGGCCGTTTCGTGATGAATACCTCGGCTGTCGAAGGCGGGAAGACTGAGGAGGAGATCATGTCCATCGGGATACCCAGGATGCAAGAAGAAGATTTGCTGGCAGTCGCTGGTGCCAAACGCCGACCGGCGGGTCTTCAGGGTCAAAAGCGACATTATGACGGTAGTGCGCCGTTTATCGAGAATATTTCACAGCAAAGCCATGAATAGTGGCGGATCATTTGTATGACTTTTGGGAATGCGCTGGCGCCATGCTAGTTACTACCCGTTGTTGTGGAGACGAGCCGCCTCGAGTTCTATTGTCGGGCGGCCGGCACATCTGTTTTGTGGATGAGCTGAGCACCTCCTCGCCAGGTACCTGCACTCGTTAGTTCGGGAGCACATCTCCAAGCGCCGGGCAAAAAGCAGAAGTTAAAATGTATACAACGCCTTGGCAAACATCGAAAAAGTCATCTGTCGCGTCTAGCAAGGCCTTTGGTCGCCGCCTCAGCCACCCACTGAGTACGGTGGACTCCGCACTCTTTCTTTTCCATTAACAGGCTTCTAGCTGACCCGCTCGAGGACAAGAAGGCTCTAATAGGGCGCGAACCGCCGCCATACCTTGATGCTAAGACGGAGACTTCTGATTGCTTTACGAAGTCTTGCAACGCCCAACGCAGCCGATTTGTCTCCTGTGCCATTAACACCATTCGAAAAAAGTAGAGCAGCTCGCGCAGCCCCTACTCGCCAAATAACACCACTCACGCATATCATGGTCAAGAATATCGGGCGAGACCTGCCGAACGGAACCCGCCAAAGCCACAACCACGCCGCAGATATTGCATAGCAGGGAAGCGGTTGTTGCCGCGCAATCGCATATAATCGCACAATATAATAGTCTATCTGCGTTTGAACTTGGACTTCTGCTCCATCCAAATCTAGGGCCGCCGCGCAAAGCGACCTCGATATCTCGAGGTAGCAGTGGTGCGGACCACAACATAACTCTACTACCCGCTGAGCTATTGCTGAATTTGGCAGAGTTGTTGCCCATTGAAACCCTTTACAACTTCGCACTAACGCATCGAGCGTGCTCTCCGCAAGTACCTCTACCAGAAACAAGGCGAACGCCTGCTACATTGGGCAGCCTCAGCTGGCAAGCGAGTTCCTGCTCAAAGGGCTATTCAATATAAGTAAAACTTTGACGTCAACTTCATCCAGTCTGGTCAGACAGCATTGGCACAAGTAATCGCAAAGCAAAGGTGTTTTTATGGGATTTCGCTGGCATTATAAAGCTCCTGGAGCAGTACTGCATAGACTTGACTGACGCAGCGAATGGCATACCCATACTCAAAACGGCAATTGAAAACGGTGCTCGTTTCGGCGTAGACCGGCTTCTTAAAAAGGACCAGGGCAAGATCAATCACCCCTCTGAGAATGGCCAGACGCCGCTCATGACTGCTCCGTGGAATGGCCACAAAGATATTGTCGACTTACTCATTCACCGGGGAGCGGACGTGAACCATCGGACCAGCTCGAGCGCTGGCCCTATCGGTTCTCGTCGGACGGCATTAGCGCTCGTCATTGAAAAGCACAGGCCTCGTAATGTAGGCATCCTACGGCAACAGGATGACCATCTCGCGAGCGTTGCAAAGCTTCTCTTGGAGCAGGACGGCATAGACTTGACTGATGGAGTGAACGGCATACCCATGCTAAAAATGGCGATAGGAAAGGTCGTTGTTGCCGTCGTCGATCAGCTCCTCGATGCGTATGAGCTGGATGAAGATGAACGCGAATATACCATCGAAATTGGCCTTGAAGCATTTCTGGAACGCTGGAAAAGGGCTAGAAGGCAGTACGAGAAGCATGGCGAGATTGAGTGTTGAGATGCTCTTATGGATGGAACAGATGACTCATATTATACACGCATAGTTCTAGGGCCGGCAAGTGGTTGTAGAGAAGGGCTTTTTGCCAAAAAAAAATTAATTGAGTAATGCTTCGTATCTTTGGCTGGTGAATGTCGCGGCCTAGGTAAAAGTTGACAGAGGCAACTTTGCCATTGGCGATGTACAAGGCAGCGAAGGACCAGGCCATTAATTTTTTTCCATGAATAATGATTATTTCTATGTAACCCTTGTTCAGCAATTTCCACCCTCTAGTAGTATCGCTCATCCGAGCGCTCTCAAGAGCATGGCCCTTGCCTGAATCACTGCTTCAAGTAGGGTTCCGTTGAAGTAATTTACCTAACTGTAATTTACCTATCTGGCCAAGGGTTTTGACGTCAGAGCCTTCTATGCATGTTACATGTCAAAAACTCTCATTGCCTGATGTCCATATCAATTTCGGCGTATTTTCCAATCGATAAAGACGTGGTGAAAACAAATGGATTACTGTTGCGTCATGTCGCGGGGGTGTCGGGGTCTGTGTGGCATGACTCTCTCGTCCATGCCGCTTACCTCCGACTTTTCAGTGTTTTAAAAGTCTCTTCTACTGACCCTCGCCCTAGACCAACTCTTTTTGACCGCACCATTCTTTGGTTAATGGTCATCTGTCAAGGTACAGACAGACTTCATGTTTCGCCACTCGGTAACCATTGCCGGCCTGCAGAGCCCAATATTAGCCAATAAATATTACCGAAGAGAATTAGCTTCGCGGAAAGCCTGACTAGGCTTAGGGCTCAATTTGAACTTACGGTTCTTGTTCAGAAATAGGTATGTCTTGATCGTGACAAAATTGCAAAAAATGGTGCGCAGTCTCCCGATTTTCGAAAACAACCATACCATCTTCTCTCGACGGTTTATGCTGCCCAGATGCGACACGCTCCTTCATTACCAGACGAACTCGCCATGATTGCGCACTTGCTCTCACTGTAGCAACATCCTCCAACTGGACGTCAAAATCAACGGGATATTCTGCGCATTTCCACTCCATGTCACTGAGCAACATATACCTGAGAGATTTACTCTCCTCAAGCCAGCACCAGAGCTGTGTGGATGACTTGGATGATTCAACCCTGGTGAAACTGCCTGTTTTGATTTGATAGATCCCCCAGCGCGTATCAGACGCCGCGAAGCCAGCGACTTCAACCACTGCCAACGGTGACGGCTTGGGCATCGTACCGGTTGGAGCAATTTCACCGCTCAATGCACTACCAGAAGTGTCGTGATTCCCCTGTATTGGAGTTCGGGGCCGCGCCTGGGTCGTAGAAGGCTTATCTGGCCATGCCGTTGCTTCATGAAGCTCAAAGTCGAGCTCGTTTTCCATTGTAGAAGCCACCAG